TCCGAACCAAAAAGAATAACTCCGACCTATTCTTCGAATGACTTCACCATCCTAACCTTAAAAAAATTTCCGAGCAAATTTTTTATTCTCCGAACTCCGAGCAAAAAAAACTAACTGAACACAAAAAATCCAATTTACGAGCAATTATTCCGACCTTAAACGAAGCAAAAAAACATCTCCGAACAACTTTATTTTTCCGAATCAAATGAGCCAAGCACAAAAATATTCCGAACGAAAGCACAAAGTTAACTCCGACTTTATTTTTTTTCAGTAAGCGAAAAGAACGAAATTTAAATTTATTCAAACATTTTATTTAACTCCAAAACGCATAACTTTTTTATTTTATAAAAACTTAAATTTTATTTAAAACATAATTTGTCGACAAAAACTTAAAAAAAATAAAAAGAAAAAGCCTCGATGGGCAAAGATAAAAACGAAAGAAAATAAAACGAGATAAAAAAAGCCTAATTTAGGCGATACAAATTTAAAAAAACTAAATAAACCTAACAAGAAAAAAAAAAAATACAAAAACTAGCAAAAGTCGGCTAGTATACATTTAAGAAAGATTTAAAGAACAAAAAAACTTGTTAGGAGAGGTATTTAAACAAAAAAAGCATAATAAAAGTTGAAAAAAACAGAGAAAAAATTAAAAAAAATAGAAAAGAAGCAATAAAAAACTTTAGTTTAAAACGTGGCGAGTAGATAAACATTGATAAATAAAGAACTTTGCTTCTTTTTATTCGTGGGTTAGAGAAAAAAAGCCATCTAATAAGTAATCACAAAAAACAAGTAAATAAAATGGCGAGCAGAAAAGCTAAAAGAAAAATCGCCAAACCAAAGCGTTGAGCCTTGGAAGAAAGTTTAAGAAGCATAATAAAAATTTTAAAATACCTTATTTAGGCTGATGAATCTACTCCATTAAAAGCAATATCAAGGAGTTTAGCAACAAGAATGATTGTTCCGCCAACAGCTACAACAGGAGGAGGAAGAGAAGATCCGCCAGCGGCGGCAAAAGAAGATGCGGCAGCTTGACCAATAGAAGGAATTAAGTCGTTTCCGAGAGGCATTTTTTCAGTTTGTTAAAAAAGATAGATGAAAAGCAGTAAACTAAATTAAGCAAATAAAGATTTAATAAAAAGAAAGGTTTAAAGCCAATTAAACGAGAAAAATAAAAAAACCAATCATGAGCCTTACTTTGTTGCGTAAAAAAGAAAACTTATAAAATCTTATTAGAACTTAAAAAGTTAAAGAAAAAAACCAAGCTAAAAAACACTTCTTTTTATAAATAAATTCTGACTGCGACTTTCTTTTGAAAACTTTCCAAAAATTCCACAGAAAGATAAAAAAAATCACGCAATTTCGCCAAGCAATACGCCTTTTTCGAAAAGTTTCCATCTCCGAAATCTTTAATCAGCATTACCTCATAATTACGCACTAATTACTAAAAAAAGTAATACCGAGCTGCCCAGCCAACATCAATTACGCAAGGCTAAAAAAAGAACAATACTAAAAAAACGCCAATCTAGAATTAAAAAAAAGATTTCGGTTAAATTATCCCTTTTGGTTTAAATCTTGCTTATCAATTTTGCCAATCAGTCAACCAATTTCGGCAAATCTTAAAATAGTTTAATCTCGGCTAATCACTATGATAATCATTTACGCCTTTCATTGTATCAATCATTTTTGCCTATCCAAATTTAGACTTATCTCCGAAATTTGAAACACCAAACAACGCCCTATGATTTAATCTTTTTTTTATTGAGTTTCACATTACCTCATTACGCCCCAGCCCCGAAAATATCTAATCTTTTTTACCAAAAACAGCAAAATAATTATCTTCCCAGCCGAACCAATTATTTTCCAGCAAAACTCCTCATGTTTAAACAAATACGCAGTTATTTAGCCGAAAGCGGTATATTTCTTTCGCTAAAAATAATTATATATGAACGATAAAAGAATAACTGGTCGAACTAAACAACTTTCTTTAAAAACTACTCCAGAATTTCACAAAGAATTGAAAATGCTAGCCACCCAAGAAGAATGTTTGATGATTGAAATCCTCGAAAGAGCCTTTGAAGATTACCAAAAAAAATTAGCCAAAAAATCGGCAAAGGAAAATATTTTGCCGAAAGTTTCACCAATAGTTACACCAACTAAAAGCAGTAAGCGTTCTCGTGATGATGACGAGTTGGAAGAAATGGACAATAATTTAAAAAGGCAAAAAGTCAACCAATAGGAAAAAAATCCGAAGTTAGATTTAGAAAAGAAAATTAATGGCGGAAAATTGTTTAATTGGTTAGTTTGATTAATGTTTTTCGTCAAAGTCTATAATAAATTTTAAGTTTAGAAATAAGTTGTCAACCAACCTCGCCAACAAAAGCCTAAATGCTTCATACTTCATTCGCCCCATTTAACCAAAAAACCATTCTGTTAAATCATAAGCTAACGGTTTAAAAAGAGTTCTAACAGAGAGTATAAATAAGCTTAGATAAGGTCGTTTAGTTAGCATGCTATTCCGGTAAGCATATATGTTTTAAATACCAGTTCGTTAGCATACATGCTTAGTTTTACCTCCTATCTTACCACCCCTTGCGGGAATAAGAAAATTAAAACCCCTCCGCCCCTCGCTTCCTGTCGAATTGTGTAAAAATAAATTATAGTTTATTATATTCGTGTTTACACAACCTCATTTGGTAAGTAAAAGTTAGTTTAGTGCTGAAACCTGCCTCACTAACTTACTCTAATCCAATAACGGATTTCAGTTAGTAAGTGGTTTAATCATTAACTTCATGGATACACGTAATCAATTCCTAGTTTTCAGTTATTTGAATTCTAGTTTGGTGTGAACTGAACCTAACTTTTTATTGCGCTTTTCATAATGAAGCGACAGAGCAATTAAACTCTGTGTTATATTTGTTAAAGAGTTTTATTTAATTTCTCCTTAGCAAGCATAGCAAAGAGGTTAATTGAACCATTTTCGAGTAAACTTAATTTAAAAAAGTCTCGTTTACTAGTGAGGAGATATAATAAGAACGGATGTTTATTATTGCTACTCAAAAAGGTTAGTAATAGGCAAACATCCTTTTAGCACCTATTACTTAACCGTTTTCAATAGATAATATAAGATATTTTACTTTAATTACTCATTTACTTAAATTTTTTATCACAAAATCAACCCTAAACTAAATAAAATTTACCTATGAGTTTGCTTGCTAAACAAAACGCAAAAGCAGCCAAGTTAGCCCATTGAATAACCGAACAAGAAAACTTATGTCGCGAAATAATTACCTACCTTTTACCTCAGCAAAAAGTAGAAATAAAATTTGAAGAATACTTGCCTAACGAAAATTGGGGCATGGCACTCTATCAAGAAAATAATCTTAATCAGGCTAGTTTAGCCCAAAAGAGGTTTGCCAAAAGTAATAATTTAGACCAATGAGGAGTTAAATATTTAACTACTTACACTAACCAACCAAGCAAAATATTAATTTCTCATCAAGCTTTAATGACTGAATTAGCCAGTAGTCCAACCGGGTCAGCCGGAATTTTGCCTACTTCTGCCCATGAAGCCGCTCATGTTTCCCCGCAAGTAAACCATAATCCTTTGTATCAGCCTTGGATAGGGAGAGGCCATGATAATATTTGAAAAAAGGTTAGCCAAGAGTTTCTTGTTAAAGTTAAGACCAAATTTGGCAAGCAAGTCGAAGCAAGTTTTAAGCAACTAGCCGAAATTAAAAATTAAGCCATTCAACCATGCTTTTCAGGCTCTTTTCAGCAGTTAGCATGATAAAAATTATGAGCATCTTTTTTTAAAGTGCCGACAAATAAATCTCCTTCTTTAATTTCTTGTCCGCAAATTCAGCAGTTAGTTTTTATTTCTATCCTGATAACTGGTTCTATTGCGTTTCTTTCAGGGTTTGCCATTTGCCTAGTCATAAGTTAATTTTAAATGCTTGTAATTTTAATTAAAGTTAAACATACCCCCTCCTCACATACTTCCTCCAAGTCTTTTTCTTACCACTATTCATCCTCCCATAAAACTTCCTCCCCAAACATTCTAAGCAAAGTATCTTATAACTACTACTTACGCCCCAAAACTGAGGATTATTCCGATTCTTAACTTTCCCAGTCTTACCGGCTCCTTTTAATTCTTTTCCGCATAAATAACAACCAGCCCAGTCATAAGGCTTATTGGGCTTAATTGACTCTTCTGTTCTTTTCGTCCTCTTTCTAACTAACTCACAGCCATAATACTCCTACTCACCGGCAAACATAACTTACTACATAAAACATGCTCCCTTTCATGCCCAGCACAATATCACTTCCCCCAGGCTTTCCAACCTAAATTAAGAATATTCAAGTGTCCAAACTCGCACAGTTCCAAGTCTACTTTCTTTAAATCTTTTATCCGCTGATATTCTGTTCAGGTTAATTTAGTTGTCATAGCAGTCTTTCTCTCACTTTAAAAAAAGAACCAAAAAAAAATTGCTTCCCGCCCCCTTTTTATCATTCAGCCCAAAGTTGATATTTCCTAAGCCTCTTTTTATGCCTTTTTTCCTAAATGTTTTATTTAATTTATAATCTAAAAACTTCCTTTTACTTATAAAATATCACATATATATATTTTTGAAGCAAATTTAAAAGATTTTCCGCCTATTGTCTCCTTTGGAAAATTTACTAGGGCGGATGCCCTACGGATTGGGGGTGAAGAGGGGGTTTTTGAGAGAATTTTGAGTGTTTCGGATTTGGTTTTTAGAGTTCTTTACGAAGTAAAGATTTTAGGGGTTTTTTAAAAGTTAAGCAAGATAATAAGCAAACTTTATAGCAAAATTAATCTAGCTTGCTTATTATCTTGCTTAACTTTATTCTGCCCTTGGTAACAGTTCAGTGATAAACATTACAAGCATAAACGTCTTTAAATACATGAATTACTTGGCGACCTCATTGGTCGTAAATAGTAACTGGTTGTTTTTCAGTGGAGCAAAATTTATACTCGTTTTCGTTTATTCCTTGTTGTTGGCAGTTAAGGCAACGAGGCTTTCGGCACGCATAATAGTCTTTTCAGATATGTTTTTTTTCTTCCAAGGCAGGCATGAATGGTTTTACTTTTTCAGCCCAATTGTATTCTTAAACAATTCTTCTGATAAATTTAGTCAATGTTTTTTTTCCTCTTCGTTTTTAACATAACCGCCTTTATTTGGGTCGCAAATAGTATCAAGGTAGTAAGCTAAATTAGCACCTAGTTTAAAGATTTCTTGCTCGTTATTACTAGCTTGAACCCTTTGGTTATAATTGATAATTTGTCTTAAAGTTTTTGATTTAGGGTATGTTTGGGAATAAATAAAAATTTTGCTAATATCTATCTTGGCTACGATGCCTTTTATCTGTTGTGATTGGTTATTCATTAAAAGTTAATAAACTTCGCCTAAACCTACCCTCTTTTCAGGTGGAAGCAATGGTGCTTTTAATAGTTTGGATTTTATGTTTAGTCATATCTTAATCTCCATGTTTATATTTTTAATAAGTTTGCTTTGTAAGCAATGAACAACGGGCTTATTTAACCACTTTTTCATACCAAAAACCACCTAAATAAGCCCGTTGTGAGGGTTTTAAGAATTTTTTTTGCTACTTTTTTTGGGGAAGTTATCGGCAAGCTGAGGTTTCGAGACAGTTTCGGCTACTTGTTAGCCCCAGAATTAGATTTTAAACATTTGACCGTTTTTGCTTTTTTAAATAATTAATTTTAGTGTGTAATTAAACTTTTAAAGGATTAATGCTAGGCAAACAATCCTTAGTACGTCGCATTAATTTTCTTCCGACGGATTGATTAAAAGTAATCTTTTTGGTTTCTCTGTCATCCCGATAGTTGATTATTAGTTTAACTGAATCTCAATCCTCTTCACCTTCTAATTCGCTAGTTTCCTGGTTGGATTTGAAATTAAACTTGGCATTTAAATCTCGATATTCTTCATCACGCAGTAAATTAGTAGCCTGACCTCTTAATCATTGTGAACCCGTTTCTAAGCGTCCAAAGCGTTTACTAATATTTTCAGAAGTAGTTTCGGTGGCTTTTAGTCAACCACTAGCACCGTGAAATAAATCACTAGCCCCCTGCGTTAAATTAGCAGAGATTTTAATAAAATCGTTTTCTCCTCAGGTGCTTATTCTTTCGCTGGCCACATGAGAAGTATCACCAATAAAACCAGTGAATTCTTTTCCCACACAAGAAATATATTGGGTAGCGGTTGAACCATATCTACCTAGTTTCCCGGCTGCTTCACCGCCTAAGGAAGTTGTTAAAAGGGTAATTCCCATAAATGTTTTGAGTATTGTCATATATATATTTTTAGTAATTAATTTTTTTATAATTTTGGAATTATCCAAATTATAATTTAAGTATGCTTATTCTAGCGTTATTAAGTTCGTGCGTGAGAGAGAAAAACAATTAACCAACCTCGCCAGTTGAAGCCTAAATACTTAATGCTTCATTCGCCCCATTTAAGCAAATTATTTTTAACCAAAAAACCATTCTGTTAAATCATAAATAACGACCTAAACTAAAAACATGAGCCTTGACAGAGATAATAACAGCATGCTTTTACTAATAGCGTTTTTAAGAAGTAAGGTCGTTTAGTAAGCTAGTTCGTTAGCATACATGCTTAATTTTACCTCCTATATACCACCCCGGGAGTTAAAAAAATTAAAACCCCTCCGCCCCTCGCTTCCTGTCGAATTGTGTAAAAATAAATTATAGTTTATTATATTCGTGTTTACACAACCTCATTTGGTAAGTAAAGACCAGTCATCGGTAGCCAACACCTAACTTTCTTTTGTTTGTAATCAAAAGTTAGCCGTTGGTCTTTCGTGCCTAGAACATAGGTATCCAGACCGGATTGGGAAATTCCTAATTTAGCACAAACTCTAAATCAGTTTAAGAAGTAGTTAACTGTCTTTGAACTACCTAGCCTTTTATTGCGCTTTTCATAATGAAGCGACAGAGCAATTAAACTCTGTGGTATACTGATTAACTTTTTGCTTTTGTTTAAAAGTAATTGAATTTAAAAAGCATACCAAAGAAGTTAATTAACCTATCAAGCAAATTTTCTTTTAAAAAGAGTTTAAAAAACTTTTACTTTGCTAGTGAGTAAGATTATAAGTTGGTGCTTATTATGCTACTCAAATCGCCTAGTAAGTTAATAGGCAAGCACCAAAATAGCACCTATTTTCTTACCTAAGCTATTTCAATAGATAATATATTAGATTTTTAATTCAAAACTTATTTTTCTGGATAAAGCAAACTAATAAAACCAACAAACTCCGGTGCATTATCATCCAGAAAAATAATTATTTTATAAGTTCTTTGATTTCTTTTGTCAACAACTTGATTATAAGCATAATACTTTCAAGCTTTCCATTGCGAATGTACTCCACGGCTTTCTAATTCTTTTTCGTGGAGTTGTTGAACCATATCTCGGATTACTTGATTATTAAATAGTCTGTTTTTATCCGGCTTAATTCCTCTTTTTTTACATCCTCTTAGGTATTCAGTGTTTCGTTTCTTATAATGGTATCAAATCTTTAACTTGGTTCTCTTTACTTCTTGGATAGTTGCCTTGATTTGGTAAATACGGCTAATATTAGCAGGCTCTTGTGGGGACTGTTTTGCGGTCATAGTTGACTTTTAATTGAAGATGTCCACTTAGTTTCTCAGTATAAGAAGCCAACTCTTCAAAACTTAATTCACTAATTCTGCCAAACAAAATGTCATCAGTTTTGACTTGACTAATACCTATTTTCTGGGCTAGTTCAGCCGGAGTAAGGTTGTTTATTCTCTTGTAACGAGATATAGATTGACAAACGTTATATTTAACTTTATCTAATTCACTAGCATTGGGCATTAGACCTTGATTTATTTCTTTGCAGTTTGGATCAGAAAAATATTTAATAACTCTTTCGAGTTCTTCCTTAGGAGGAAAAGCAAAAATTTGCCTATTGTTAAAGCTTTTTCTAGCAGTTTTCATAATGAAATTTTTATGTTCTCCGTTCTTAAATTTATCATATACCAAACTACCTATCTACAATCCTATTTAAATAAAACTTATGAACCCCAAAACCAATCCTCAACTTAACCTTAAACAACTTAACTTTAAAGTCCCTCCCGAATTCTACTGAAAACTAAAAACCTTTGCTACTACTAAAAGACTTAAAATGGGTGAAGTCTTAGAAAAAGCATTTAAGTTTTACGAGCAAAGAGAGCAATTAATTAAGGAGATAAATACTTACCGGCAAACTATTCCAGCCATCGAACAACAAATACAACCTTTTCAAGGAAGCATGAATTGATTAGAATTAAAATCAAAACTTAATAATTTAAACCCTATTCTTTTTAATAAAATTGGCTTAGTGATTACTTATCAAGTCTTAAAGGGGACTTTGGGAGAATGTTTAAGGTTGGGAAGTTTAGGGTAAAAGTCTTCTTATAAGACTTCTGGCTTTAATGCTTTTTTTTGAAAAATATGGAATTTTTTTTTGGTTCTTTTTTTTAATTACTCGGAACAATCGGAACAATAAAAAATAATTATATGGTCAAAAGCCTTAAAAAAGTCAACAAGTTTCAACCTAATAGAATAAAACTAACTAGCCCTGTAAATAATGTTCTAACCAAGAAAGAAACCCCAAGCAAATCTAAACAACAAATCGATAAAGAATATTATCAAAAGAATAAAGAAAAGAAAAGGGCAGAAAGAAAAGAAAGATACCAACAGCAAAAAAAGCAAACTAAATCAACTGCTAAACAAGGGTTAGCAAAGTATTATAAAGCCGAAAATATTAGAGTGCTAATATCCTTAAAAGAATACACCGAACTAAATTCCGAAAAAAGAAAAAAATGAGCAAACTTCATGCGAACTTTTAAAGATTTTAACGAAGCAGGATTTTACGATATAATCCAAATTATGAAAATTGGCGAGGAAGCCGAAAATCTAATAAATGATTACTGAAAAACCGCCAAAAACGAAGTCAAAAAAGGTAAAAGTTGGGACAGTTTAAGCGAAGAACAGCAACAAAAACTAATTAAATACTGAGGACGAGAAAAAACCCGCCGAGAAAATAATTATTTAACCGAGGCGGAAAGGTTAGAAAAGCAAAGCCAAGAATACTTAAAAGAAATTGAATTAGCCAAATTCCACGAAGAACGTGGCAAAATTAAATGTGAATGCTACCAGTGCGAAGCCCAGAAGGAAATCCAAGCAGAAGTAAAAGCCAAGGTTAAAAAAGAAGTTCGCCAAGCTGAAAAAGAATTTGATGATTTTTGAGGTGCTAACGAAAAAATAGAATGCTCCGAATGTGGCAGAAAAGTTAAAGAATTGGACGAGGAGAGTGGATTGTGTAAAACTTGCTTAGAAAAATATGAGTAGAGAAATAAAATAAAGTGCTTTGTTTAAAATGTTCAAGAGAAGTTGATAGAAAAAATGTCCGTTAGGAAAAAATATACTTTTAATAAGCACTTGGGGCATTTCACAATAAAAGGTAATAAAGTGAATATTAAACTTATCGTAAAACATTAAAATCCGAACCAAAAAGAATAACTCCGACCTATTCTTCGAATGACTTCACCATCCTAACCTTAAAAAAATTTCCGAGCAA